AAGGAGAAAGAGAGCGAGAGAAGAAGCAGAGGTTCAAAGCGGCTTATAGCCGAGCCTGAGATCCTGTATAGCTGAAGAATCTTCTTGCTATAGCAGCCAAGCTCGTCTTGCCCACCTTCCTTTCGATTCACACAACATAATGACCATGGCAGTATGGTGGGGCTTCACTGTTGCTGTACCTGAGAAAGCTCCTAATGGCCACAGTAAGAACCTTCATGGAGGTCCACTGGACATTTATAGATGTTGGAAAGTTGCAATGAGTGTGTCTCTTGATAAAAAGTACTGTTTAGCTTTCCCCTCCATTCTCCCATTCACACCTGTTCAGGTTCAGTATAAGTGCTGTCTTCCCTGCATACACTAACAACAATCAGGTGCTCTATCCCAGATGCTTTGCTATAGTTTGAAAATGTTGAAAGTTACAGATTACTGTTTTAAGTTGAACAAACCTGTTTGACAGTTTTATATTAATGCTTTATACTAATTTAGGCTAACAGTAGGCCTGTCACTTTTTATTCAAAATTTGAGTTACCATTCAAACATGAGAAAATGTATACAATAATCACCCAGTTAAACTCAAAAGCCATGAGCAGGAAGGAAAAGCTCCGAGAGTAGGGAAAAACTCTCCCACACATGTAGAGCTGGTTGACATAACCAACTAGCTTCCCTGCCTGGATAGAAATGCAGGCAAGCTTCTGGAGGTAAAGAGGGGTAGATTGATAAACAGATCTGAAGCAGAGAAGTCCCACAGAGAGGAGAAATCAACACTCACAGCAGTAGAGATTTGGTAAAGATTGACAGATTAGCAGAGCAAAAGAAAAGAGGTTCAAGAAACACAGTGATCGCTGCTCACATTATTAGAAAAACTGTGCTGGCATAAAACTGACAAACTGCCTGTCTGGATTACAGAGCAGAAGAATGCGGAGTGTTTACTGCACCCAGTGCAGTATAATATACTAATGTGGGCCTATTTGTCATTAATTTTACTTTGCACACATTCCTCTGTGAAGTACAGAACAAACAGCGAGCAGCACTATTAATTCTTCCTGTGCTGTTTCCTGCTGAAACAGTATGGTGACAGATCATCTGAAAGGAGGTGGGGGTGGTGATCAGAGAAGCTGCAGCCTCTCATTAGCTCAACCTTCTCAGCAGAGGACATGACAGAGAAGCCCTCAAAATCCAAGACTAATCTCAGTCTACATGCAAATAATCCCAGCGGAGCCCGGCTAAATAATCCACCCAGTACCTTGACCTGGGGAGACGAGCGGTGAGCTGCAGGCATGAGCTGGTGGTCACAGTGGCAGAGCAGGAGCTACGATTGTGTGAGCAAAAGAAATCAGCACTTTGATGATTTGCTATTTCGAGTCACAGATCACAGGAGTATGAAATTAAACATTATCATTAAAAAAATCTTGACATGTCATATACTGGGGCTGAAGCCATCAACCAAACAGGTTATTAACTGTGTGCCTTGTTAAGTATGCGTTGCATTCTCATCTTAATGAGAGAACATGCAACAAGAGTCTGTCCCTTTAAGTAAAGTTGAGGGGTGCCGGGTGTTACCGGTGCCATGACAGGGCTGACCTATATTTTAGATGTGCATGTCGGTGTTGTCGATGCTTTCCAGAGTGGGTTCTCTCTGCAGAGCAATTTAAGAGGATGGTATCCACTTCAGTGGTATGGGCTCCCAATGTCTTGTCCTCCAGGGGAATGCCATCCTTGAACCAGGTCAAGGCTTACCCTGCAGTTAGAGTGATAAAAAGGTTTCAAAATGAAGAAAGAAATATTTCAAGAAAAATCACAAAGAAATCACTTCATAGATGTAATAAGCTATAGCTGTTTTACTGAAAGTTTCGCTTCACATTGGGAAATTGGCCATGATTATCAAATTACAAGTTAATTTCAGAGACCTTTTTTTTCATGAATTTGCCTTGGTTTTAGTTGTTTGCAACAGAAAATTCATTTTTGTGGCATCCTATTCAAGTTTAGCATGGTAGACCACATATTTCACCAGTGTGAAAACAACCATTGGAAGTCTGTCCAGCTCTAGGATGAGATGACAGAACTGTGGGTGCTCTCTTCCCCCAGGAGAACATCATGTAGCCACATCCTCTGGTTCCGAACAGGCTTTTCATCTGCTTTTTCAAAAGCAGTCAGAGCCATGGTTCCCTTTTTCTTGTCTATTTTTATTTATAACAATGACTTTCACTTTGCTACTCATGGTTAGCTTCTTTTCACTACTGCCATACTTTGCAAGTTGCTGTCAAATGCTGTAATGCTCCCTGTGCCCTCGGAGCTCTTGCTCTCTCTGTTAGTTGCAAAGTTTACAGATCTGATTTGCATTTCAGAGGAGGAAAAACTGCTCTGTCGGTGCTGCAATAGGGAATTCTTAAGCAGTTATTTGGTCATTTTCACAAGCAAAGTGCATTTGGACATGTAGCAGAAACCTATGAGAGTCTGTCCACTACTGTACATGTGTTAACTCTTGTCTAGGTTGTTTCATCCTGCTGAGCTTTTACTTCCCCTGCAATGACCCATTTTATGTGGATTGTGGAGTGGCTTTTTTGGCTTCTATCCAAACACTACCGTCTTTTTTCACTTCTCAAATACAGCAAACTTTCGAGTTTTAAATGTTTCAAACAAGCATTTTGTTCAAGGTCAACTGTATACAAATCTAGTCTATATACTCAAAACTAAAATGAAAAAAGTGTGAGCTTGGCAAGAATTGGCCTAACCTGGAAGGGGATGACCAAGTTCACCTTATCGCCTTCGACCTTGATGAGTTTGGTTCTCAGATGGTGAGGCAGGCGGACCTTTGGACGATCTCTGTGGTGGAGACAGGAGAGACAGAAAAAGAAATGCTGCAGTAGGTCAAAATAGTGGATGAGTGGGCAGTGCGGGGGAGTGCAGATATAAAATGTACAGCACATGGTTAGGTTCATGTGTGTGTGGCCTGGTATTACTCAGAGTGCAGGTGCTGTTCTACACCATTTTAAAATCCATAGCCTGCTTTGTCACAATTGCTAAGCTAGTGCGTGCCTGGACAATCGTTAAGGCAAAGGTCTGGCAAATAGTCCATTTGAAAAACAACTTTTGGGTTGTGGTTTGGGGTTTTTGTGTGGTTGATGTATCCTCCTCTGTCTCATTAAAAAGCTAAAAAAAAAGTGTTGTAGCTGAAATATATACATAATTAATTATAGTATAAAAAACAGATCTGTAATGCATTAACAAATTATTTAAAGACCTGGTATTGTGGCCCTTTTGAAACAATTTTATATAAATATTGAGAGTATTTTCAACAAATCTGAAACACTTTACATTCCAGATTCCCCTGTGTCCTCCAGCATGCTGTTTGGAAAGTTATTAACATAAAAGTTACATTATTCATGAGAACCTAATGAACCTAATGAATAATGCAGGTATGCTCTCGTTACTTAAACTTAAGAACACCATGAGATAGAGTTTGGTGATTTGACAGCAGAGGAGGGGCTCCACCATCATCCTGATCCACCTCAAAGCTTTTATTGTTTGTTTTTCTATTATACCAGGTCTTTGATGCTTTATAGATTTAATGCTACCATTAGTTACAATGTAGTATAATGCAATACCAATTTTGCGTACTTCCTTCTTTGCGGTACTCATTGATGTAACTGTTGATGCCACCTGCTCTGATTTTCTTTGAAGGACGCCACTTGAGTGTACAGGTAGTGTCTGTCACACCAGCCACATTGAGATGAATGGGCTCAATGGTGGGGGCTGAGAGGGGCAGGAGCTAATTAATATATTAATACCCAGTATAAATGGGAAGGGAGGTAGGCTAAGCTGCGTCAAAACATCAAAGTTGGGCTTGATCCATCTGGATGAGCCCATCTTCTTCCTCTCCATCACCTGGAGGAAGTAATACCAACACAGTGTGACATCATTAAAAATGGCTCAGTATTCTTTGGGAACACTGCAATGCAATAAACAAAGTGAATTCTAGACTGCTGTTTTCTCCTGGGAGACATCAGATGTGGAAATTAGATGCTATGTGTTCAAGCATACCTTTGACAGGGACTCCGTCGTCAAATGCAGGAGGATCACATGTGATTGCGGCAGAGTCCCTGCCAACTGATGTGCATTTGACATTCTCCGGAGGGTTGGGAACATCTGCAGAGGCAGGGGACAGTTGGAAATGAAAAAACAGGAAGAATGAAGCAGATGGAGAAATGAGAGAGGGCATGGGCATGACAAAATGTAAGGAAGTAGGTTTTACACAGTACAGTATGTAAGAAAACATGGAGCATTGCAGCGTTGTCACTGAATGTGCAGAGCATTTACTGGAAAAACCTTTAAAATGATCCAATTCAAACCATTTTTTTTCCTTTTAACTAAATCAAAAGATTTCGACCTTGTATTTATTTTTCATGACCACATCAGCAGCCAGTAAGATACTGTAACTGTGTACTGTAGGTGGGGTGTTGTGGCTCAGGATGTAGAGTGGCTTGGCCCCTAACTTTAGGGGCAATGGTTTGATGCCCAGCTTCTCCAGTCCATTGGTCAAAATGTCCTTGGGCAAGACACTGTACCTCAAGTTGCTCTCAGTGACATTGTCAGTGTATGAATGAGAGAATGTTGTGTGCACAATTGAGTGAATGGGTAGTAGAGTGAAGTTCTTCGACTGTGCGTCAGTACGTAGAAAGGCGCTATATAAATAGAAGACCACATAGATTATATCAGCAGTGATTTGGCAAATTAAGACAAATTATGTATACTTTAAAATTGAAATTATTTTACATGTATTTTACAATATTCCAGCCACTGGATACTATTCATTTCATGAACATCCCAGTAACTATCCTGTCTGGTATACTACTGCAGAACTGTGGTACGATGGCTATAGTTTTATACTGTTCATAAGGTGCTGTTTTTAAAAACATGCATTTTTTAATTAAATGTGTTTAAATTTTTTGATCGACTTTCTGTCTACTTCTATTTGCACCTAAATTCTTTTATCGTGATTACATAGTTATTCTCCCTTTTAACTGCATTACTGCTCAGCAATAACCTACAGTAACTGTTTTTTGAAGGCTGTGAAATTTTACTTTTTAAAATTGTGAGTCATTAAAAATATTGAAGGTCTAAAAACATTTATATATTCAGTACAGAGAAATGCACTGATATAGTCCTAAAATTCAGATGATATAAGCTTTTAAAAGAAGGTGCAAACAGTGAAAATTTCATATTATTTTGAATCATTTTACATCAATATTTTGTGACCATTACCCAGTCTCAGGTCAAGGCCATATACAGTAACCCTCAGCCAGCTAGGAAAAATGAAATGGGAGCAACCAAAGAATGTGAGGTGAAAAAGGCAAAAGTGAAAATAAGTCACTGACCCACAATACTGACAAAGAGTTCAGCCTGGTCCTCTCCAGCAAGGTTAGTTACAGTGATAGAGTAGCAGCCCTCATCCTCTTTCTCCACCCCCTCAATTACAAAACTGCTCAGGGTCTTCCTCGACTCCACACGGACCCATCCTTCGCCCTCAGCAGCCACCTACCACATGGGGTGGGACAGATTGAGAGAGACAGATGGAACAAATGAAATTTTTGAAGAGAATAGTGTCGTATGATGACGGCACAGCTGCCACGATGACAGGTGATTCAACCTTCACACTCTAGTTCTTGTTTCATTCTCTTTTTGTACTGTTCAGTGACTAACAACTGACACACAGAGGTAGACAGCATCTGACGTGTGTTTGAGTGTGTATGAAGTAAATGGTGAGAATCCTCACTTTGTCTCCTTTCATCCAGCACATGGCGGGGGCCGGCTCGCCTGTGATCTCAATGTCATGGCGAAGTTTGTTTCTCACCACCACAATAACTGTGTTCTTGCTGCCGTCGCCACTGGTGTCCAGGTGGGTTTTGGGAGGATCTTTCATTGTGGGCGTTAGAAAGAATGATGGGAACAAAAACATCATGGAGGTGAAAAGGACAATGTTTGTTGTGAGTGATACCAATGGAATGGTTATATTTGCCATGACACTTCTTGTAATACTTCTTGCTTTGACACTTCTTCTTGAGCTTCTTGAGAAAGAGCATAGCCATCAGGAACAAAGGTATAATGTCCAGCATCTGAAGGCTTCACGTCATCAATTGTCAGCTTGTGGGTCCTGGGGACATGTTACCAGATGTTGCTAAGGAGACAACACTCTTTGTGAATGACAATTATGCAAAAGACAGTTGCCCTGGCAACATACTTCATGAGGCAATATCACAAAGTGAGAAACATACTAAATGGCTTTCACCTTGTATGACTGCTGTTGCCTGGGTAGGCTATATGTCCTGCTATAGCCAGGAGGGATTACTGAGAGAAACCCTAGGGGTGTGTACTGTCTGCTGTATGTATGTGTGTGTGTGTGTGTGTGTGTGTGTGGGGGGGGGGGGGGTCTGAACTATTTGGTGGGGTTGTGTGTGTGTGTGGGGGAGGGGGGGGGGGGGGTTAGTATGTTTAGAGGTTAGAGCTTTACAGACTGCAGTCTATCCAAGAAATGGGTCAAATAACTAAGTAAACCCCTCAGTAATTGTTGCCCAACAGTGCCTGTTGTGATAAGCTATATTATTTTGTGTGTTTTCATGTGTGCAGTTGTGCACAATGGTGAGGATGGACAGCTTGAAGACAACTCCTCTCTGAAATTCAAATACAGATGCACAGCAATCTGATATAATACCGTCCAATGTGCGTCATTTGGATGCAATCACTGGACTGGACGCCATCCTTGAATCATTTCCCCGTCATTTTTTCATCAGACACTTCACACTTGAACATAGCCTGCTCAGCAGCCTTCACTGTCAGGCCAGCCATGCTCTGCAGAACCTGCAGCTCCTTATCTGGAGCAAAAACACCAATGTAGATCAGTGCATAGTGTAGCATACAGATGTTTGTTTATGCAGACAGTTAATCAAGTGTGGTGTTACTACATGCTAGATATGCATTGCAGCATTATTTAATGAAGCCCTGCAAAACTAGAGGACCTGCACTGAACAGCAAATACTAGTACAGTACTGTAATTTAAGAAATCTATGTTTCAAACCCTTATTTTATTTTTTCAGTGTAACATAATAGTTTGGCAGTTTGAGAAGTAGCTCTTTCACTTTCTTGCAGAGAGTTAGATGAGATGATTGATCTCACTCTTTTGTTTGTACAGTAGCTGAAGCCAGCAGCCAGCTCACTTAGCTTAGCACAAAGATGGGCAAATCGGGGGAAACAGCCAGCCTGACTCTTTCCAAAGCTAACATAATCTGGCTACCAGCACCTCTGAAGCTCAACAAATTAGCATGTTATATCTTGTGTGTTTAATCTGTGGTTTTACAGGAGGGCTAGGTGTCAAAGAAAGCCCAGCTCCATGTTTCCTGCATTTCCAGTCTTTATGCGAAGTTAGGCTCCAGTAACACGCTGCTAGCTATAGGTATCAGTCTTTTCATGTAACTCTTTGCAAGAAGGCAAATAGGTGCATTCCTAAAAACACAATTTAAAGATACTTTTAGTATTTAAAACATTATTTTTAATTTAGCAAATTATGAAGGGATTGTTGCAAAATATATACTGGTTAATTTCAGGTCACTTAATATTTGCAAACTTATGGGAAAATATGGGAATAGGAATTTATCTGGTGAGAAACAGTTTCCAGCTAGGCTTGTTTTATGACTCCTGTGGATGCCAGCTACACAACACACACAAATCAGGCATTCCTCTATCCTCTATGCAGGCAGTCTATTTAGCCTTTCAGGTTGCAACACTATGTCCATATTAGCCACCTGGTGCACTCTAACTATGACTGGAACGTCCACTGAGGAGGAAGGACAGGTGTTTTCTCACATTCTAATCAATTTAGCAAACTCGTCTGGCTTGCAAGATTGTAGCAATTGAGACAGCGTGATATCCGAGACTTGACCCAACCATCTATTTTGGAGGTGTAAAGGAAAATTAAAGTAATGGATAGTGTGATGAACTAGTGATACAAGAGATTAATGAATTAATATCAATTATGACATGAGTAATGACTCATTTACTGCTTTCCATGCCTGTCAGAATGGAAAACATCAGCACCTGCAACATGGGTAACGTGTAAATTTCCTTTAAGTTTCTAATGAGCCATGTTTCAAATATTACTAAACTTTGTACATCAGCTGATGGTTTCTAACTTATTGCTTCTGTAGTTGATTCATTTCACAGTATCTGCTGAGGAGGATTGATTTTTATTCTTTATACTCAAGACAATTAATATGTGTTAATATATGCCAAATAGTAAAAGATTTATGTTAAGTGATGCATAATTTTCAAGTCATGTTGTTACTTGATTTTGTAATAAGCCTGCTTAACCTGGATGTTATGTTTTCACTTGTTAGGAGGAAATGTTAAATACTGGTAATGGCTCTAACAGAGGAGAAGTTAAGTTCAACCACCAGTTGTGCCTTTGATGCTCCACCATTGGTAAAGATGTGGTACATTCCATTATCCTCTTTAGTAGCTTCATTTATGATCAAAATGTGCCTCTTCCCATCCTTTTTAAACCTGTACTTTGAACCTGCAGTTTCTCTGTTCAGCTCAACTCCATCTTTTCATCCTAAGGGGGTAATACACACACACACACACACACACACACACACACACACACACACACACACACACACACACACACACACACACACACACACACACATATGCTTTAGTAACACTTCAAAACACAGAGCAGAGAGGAAGAGCTGATTCACATGTCTACAATCTTCTACATAGCTTGAGCCTTAAGGAATCACAATTCTGGTACAATATAAAAACAGTGCAGAAGATGAAAAATTCTTCAAATATACTTTTTGTGCTGTTTTTACAGCAACTGTAAAAATAGTTCAGAGAAATCTAACAAATAAAAAAATGATCCATTATAGTGCAAAAGTACTTTTTCCATAAGAGCAATAATGTTGCTCTTATCATTTTGTTTGAATGTGTGAAAATATGTGAATAGATTTATTAAGTCATCATAACACAGGCTTATTCATTCAACACAGTTTTCTGGTGCATTTAAAAACCTAAAATTAAAAAGTTTATTGTGAGTGTTGTGCACTGTTAATAATGCAGAAAAGTCTCTTCACATTTGTCAGATAAAGGGAACTGTTTGCCCCAGAATACAAGCAGCTGAGGGTGCTGTGGTGGCCTAGGGATTTAAAGTACTGACCAGAAACTGCAACAACCTTGGTTTGAAAAAGCAAAAACAAAAAATGCACAGAGTTGACTAGCTAGTGTAACAACGTTTGCTGATTTTAGTTTTTGCTTTTTCTTGTTTTTTTCAGATACTATTTAAAAGTGTGCACAGCTAAAAACTTGATTCAGTTGTCACTGTGAAATGTCTTTGTTGACAAGATGCCTGTGACACAACTGTACTGTGCAAAATAGAGGCTGAGAGAAAACAACTGGCAATGTCATAGCACTATGGTTAAACTGCTAAATATTTGGCATTAGCTGTGTGAATGTTACTAAAGAAACATTCAAGACTGACATAACATTCTGCAATAATGATGAGTAAGTTACATGAGTTGTGCTAACATTTCCCATGAGATTTCGCTGCTGTTTACATGGCCACCAAAGCTTTGTCTAAAAATCCCAAGTATATTCATTCATTCAGGGATGTTTGGGCCACAAGCAAGGTAAGACCTTGCGGGTTATTAAATGACGAATGCGTTTCCCGATGAATTGATTTTCGAATTCACCACAGGGCAGACTAGCTCACCATTTGACGTTGACACCTTCCTCTAACACTTCCACCTCTAACTCCACCTTCTCGCCCACCACAGTGTGGACATCATCCAGCAGCTTAGTGATAGTGGCTGGAGGCTCTGAAGACAAGTAAAAAGTCTTACGTCAAACTCCAAAACACCAGCAGGGTACTGAGTCAGTTGTACCACAGTATCACCCACTGTACATTGTGCGTTTCTGAATCACCAGAGAAATGCCAACTGGGATCATGATTACCAGATAAAAGAAGTATGGTAGGATAAACAGCGCTGAAAGGTATCGCTGCTGGAGCAGAGTGAGAAATGCTCCTGACAAAACAACCAGTACAGTAACTGCTGGAATCCTGGCACATGCAGAATCTTTATTTCCAGCAAGTTTAGGCTGTATGTATAGTCCAAGTCAAATTGAACCCGAAACTTAGATAATTAAATGAGTAGCCAGTGAGGCTGGATATTCTATATATTGCAGTATAAACCATATCAACAATTTCTGTCCAGTTAATTGGGTTAGGGTTAGACTTAAAACTAAACTAAATAAAAATACTAAGAAAATGAGATATTGCAGTTTCGTCTGGTTTAATAGTGGAACACATCAACATAAATCAAAATCAATCAGAACATCATTGATCAGCTTTATCTGAAAAATGTTCCTTTTAATTCCTCAGTATTGATTTCAACCATACTGTAGTTTTACTTGCAACAAGCCCTTCAGCAAAATTTGCACTTGTCCCTACCCCAAGAGAGTCTTCTGAACTAGCACCCCGGCAGCAGGTGCACCAGATCTCTGGTCGTTTCATTAATAAACATGTGGCTATGGTTACAAAACAGCTACTGTTTGGTTAGTTTTATGCAAAATAAATAAATAAATGGAAGAATAAAGGGGAAAAAACTTGGTCAGATTTAAGGAACTATCACAGTTTGGGTTAAAATAACTAGGAGACACTAAGGATGATTGTAATACCTTTTGTTTCACTAAGCTAAGACCCCACAATCAGTGGTAAATGACTGGAAATTGTACTTGGTGTAGATGTGGCATGTACTGTAGTTTGGAGGAAGGTTTCAGAAGCTGGCACTGCTCCCGGGTATTGTCTGACCCCCTCCACAAATATGAGATAGAGGGGAGAGAATGACCGAAGTAAGGGAGGGAGGATGGGTTAGGAAAAGCCAAAGCCGGTGTCTGTCTTTCTTAGGTGGTTTATAATGATTGGCAGAGGAAGTGGTGTGTGCTTTCAGGCGTGGTCCTGCTTATGATCCTCAGATTAAAATCTCCAAATGAGCATCATTAACTCAGTGGCTGCTTGCGAGTTAATGTCAAGTACAAAGACTTCTGTTGTTACAAGCTACTCCACTACTGGGGTGAGTTGTAACACTAGCTGGGGATGGATGTAACAACATGACAGTTTGCTGAAATAATATCCACTTTATATAATTTATGCACAAACTTTAATGGATAATAAAGAATGACCAGTTGTGAATGAAGTGAGCGAATAACGACATAACATATTGGGAGATCTCACACCAAAACATTGCCCAATAACACCATAGTGGCCAAAAACTACACAGGACATTTAACTTGACATTTCTTACATGAAAATTGAAATATTGTGCTGCACTTTAAATGTTAAAAGTCTTTCTATTTCTAAAAAATGTTCTGCAAGTGTTGTATTAATATTTAACCCATTTTAAATATGTCAAGTGTGTAACCAATAAGGAAAAAATATATAGTTTGGTATTACTTTGAAATGTTTTGAGGATTGCTTGGGAAGATTAAACATATTGCTGTTCTATTTGGTAAAGTGCAACTCTCTAGGTTTTTAGTCCCAAATAGTCTAAGTCCCTTGTCCCTTCTTATTTCAGCTCTACTAAAATTAACCTTCTGTTATGGTTTAGTCCCCCTCACTAGGAGGGTGAGGGAGAATTGAGGTAGGACTCAAGATTGCTGACCCAGGTGCTAGTAAAAAAGGTGGTTTAATAGTGGGAATCACAAAAAGGAACAGAGTCAATGAACACATACAACCAGGGCTGGGCAAAGACGGCTGAGGAGACCAGGACGACAAGGGGAGTAGGCAGGCTAATGGCAAAAACCAGGAGAGTGGGAGGAACAGGGCGGACCAGTGAATAGACAAACTACCCAGGAGGACTGGCGAACGAAAAAGGAAATCCACAGCACAGGAACTGTCAGCGTGGACGTCTGGAGACGTGTAACACAAAAAACATGTAACCAGTGTACAAAATGAGATCCACAGCACAGGAACTGTCAGCGTGGAAAACAAAATGACGTACAATACATACCACAAATCAGGTCTGTTACGGGGTATGCAAGTTAATGCTCCGGCGAAGACAGAGTGTCTGCCAGAGGGATAAATAAGGAGGACAGGTAATCATCAGGATGCACCCCAGCTGTGCACGCTCAATCTTTTTATTTGTAATAAATATGTAAAGCTTTAATTTGCATTCTCAGACATTTGTTTGGACCATTGTAGAAGCAATATTTTACAATTATGTACCAACCCTGTAATGACCTGAAGCTTATTTCTTTTTATAGTTACTGTGAATGTAACACTGTCTGTGATGCACAAGAAGAAAGAGTTTGTCTTTTGCATGTAAAAAATATAACCTGGCTGACAGTTGGGGCATGAAGGTGGTTTCTGTTTCCACCTGCAAACTTTCCCTTTCCCTCAACTTAGAGTGAACAAGCTCCATGCTCTCACCCAGCCTGCTTTATAAAATACCCCGTTTGAGATTAACAGCAGGTTTTAAAACAGTATTGAACGTTACTGAGGTGGCCCATTAGCTAGTAGCAACCTAACCATCAGGTCCATACTCGAACTTTCCAACTGCAGCTTTCCGCGTAGTTACTCTACTTCAAACCTTTCTACAAGCGACAGACCAGTGTGAGATATTACGGTGTTTGAGAACAAATCGATTCTACCAGTTTAAAAATGGCAAGTTCTACCTACACAACCCATAACAGGAGGCCTGATAGACAGGCAACTTCCAGAAATCAGAATAACATGGACCGTGAAGCACTTCAAGAAAAAATCAGGAGGCTTCAGTGGATGTTGAGCAGGGGAAGAGATGGCTTTTACCACAAACAAAACTGGAGAATCCAGCTTAGCCAAGAGCTGGGTGAGATGAAGAAACAGCTGGCTTACCAGAAATCTAAGACAGAGTCCTATATCTACAAGGAAAAAGAGACCAGAAAGGAGCTTGAGAGGCTGCAACAATACAGTAATGCAGAAACTCTCGACACCTTAAACGTCGCCACTCTGGTAAGCAATGGCATCAAGAGAAGGAAGAAAAAGGACCTTCAGAAGGATCATGAGGAGCTGCAGGTGGCACCTGTGCTGTATAGAGTTTACACGTGAGCTCAATGTGGAGAGGGACAAGAATTAGGTCAGCCAAAAGTATGAAACTGATGTCCTCACACTCCAGCAGCAGGTCAAAAGCCTTCAGTGTGAACTTGAGAATGAAAGAAGTATCACACAGACAAGGAGGAGCAAGATCATCATGCAGAAAAAAGCTGATGACAAGGACATGTTTTATCAGAGAGAGATGGAGGAGCTGAGGAATCATCTCAAGGTTCAGACCTCACTCAACCTGCAGCTCTCCACTGAGCTCAGTGCTGTGAAAATCACCAAAAGTGAAACACCTGAGAATGAGCCTGAGGAGCAGCATGAGGATGAACCGTGCAAGACCGAGGAGTCCCTCCCCAATGCGCTCCATGATCAAGAGCCCACGGAGAAGACGGAGGTCTCTGCAAAGAGCATCCCAAAGACAGGAAAAGAGAAATCGGTCTGGAAGAGAATCCACCACTCTCTGGGACTGAGGAAACCAAAGAGGTGGAAGAAGTGAACTGAACCTCTTTCACAGCTGAGATTTAACATGGAATCATCTGCCAGATGCCATGTAATGACAAATGTGATGTAATTCAGTAACAAATAAATCAAAAATTCATCAAAAGTTTAAAAACATTTTGCTGTGTGCAGTTTGTATGTTGTTTAATTTAATAGTTTATTTAACCCTGACAATGCACAAATAGTTTTGGTTTTGATTTTTATATGGTATAGAATGGCTCCAACAGAGCCTTGATCTCAACCTCATGGACTCAATATTATGGGATGACTTGAACACTGAGAAAGATTAAATCTACAGTAGAAATGTGGCAAGAACCTTGAAAAACTGTGCGTTCATGTACTGAGGAGAACTGGCTGGGTGATCACAACAAATATTGATTTGAATTGGGTTTTTTTCTGTATACTGCACTTTGGATGAAGTAGCTTGATACTGTAGGAGGAGTTCTGGTATTAGTTTTGAACTAAAGCCCATTTAGGCTCAGGTTAACTCCTGGTAAGAAGACACACTGTATCAGTGTCCTTACATTTCCTCCAGTGTGTACTGGACTGGATCCAGTGCCGTTTGGTGAGTGTGTAAGCTGAGCAAAAGTCCAAAGTTTCCGCTGAAGGCCAGGTGGTGCATGTTTGTGTGTCTCTCTGCCCCTTCCAGTACAGTTACATAATAACACACCATGATTTCATTTTCTAAGAGGAGATTTATTTTGGACATGGCATTCCACAGTACACCGTCTGGACAGAGGTCACCTACGATCAAACATCGGGAACATTGGGTTTAATGCACGCTATAAAAATGTTCATCACAGAGGTGCAGTTAACGCAACTGTTACATCATGAAATCATCAATTCCTGTCAAGAACAGTTAGTTGGAACATAACTTGTTACATTTAGCGCACAATACCGACACCGATAAAATCTCTACAACAGATATGCTATTTAAAACCTGCGCATCAAGCCATTTACATTCAACGCAAAGTTAGAATGTACTGAATCCAGTTCAAAATGACTTGATTTAACAAAATCAAATGATCAATGTGTTTCCAATAAGGCAGGTAAGTATTTATTTTTTCATAGCAGTTTTAGCCTTGCAACTCGATTCAAACGAATCTTTGTTATTCACCTTTTTGAGAAATTGAAAGATAACAATCCAAATAAAAGCAGAGCAGATAGACCACGACGAAATGTAAAGACAGAAACAGACACATACACACATGTACACACAGACACACTGTACATGCAGTCTTTGATTTAAAAAACATATTTGTGCCACTGGGATGAATCAGTTGGCTTCAGCTCTGCTGGCTCGATCCATATCTGTGGCGTCCTACCTCATCTGTGATTTGGTTTCTGCTGCATGTCACCACCTTTTACAATCATAAAGATATCCTCTGTACATTTACCAAAAATAAACCAAAACAACATTGTACAGTACAAACACCTCATGAGCCCAAAGATGGAGGGCTTGTTAAACATCTGACAGTAAAATACATCTAGCCTGTATGTACAAATATACACTCAATGCAGAGTAGAATACATCAAGGACATTCCAGGTATATAACCGTTAGGCACTAAAAGGTGTTTCCGTGTAACTTAGACCACCTTTTTCCACTGAACTGTTCCACAACAGACCCTGACCTAAATTTGACCAACCACATGTTGGGACTTGTGGTGAGCGGGATCAAATTAACATTCCAAAGCACTGCGTTTGTGTGTGTTTTAACATCGGTTTAATTCTCCTTCATCCACAGCTCTCTGTCTTTGGCTGGATCCACATTCTACAGTAGCTGGTCAACTGGCTCCACCGTCTGCAAATATGATCCCATCAAACATTTGTTCATTTATTATTATTATTACCTCAACATGTTAGTGTATATAAAAGGCAGGGAAATGGCAGTTTTCATATCTTTCAGTGAAATACAAGGCTACAGCCCGCAGCCAGGTAGCTGTTTTCTTCTGTTTCGAAATTATTCTAAGCTAACAAGTGAGGTCTGACAACCTTCAGATCTGGTGTAGTTGATCAGATTGTATTCTATTCATAATGAGTTGTGTTTGAATTTACAAGAAGGGGAGACCAGAGATGATTGTAACACCTTTATTTTTATCATCACTAACTCAGTGGCTGTTTGTGCTAGATCTCTCAAACCATGATACATGGTACCCATATTTGTCTACTACAAATAAAAATCACTTGGACGACAACTACACAGTCACTGATTATGCAAGTTAATGTCAAATGCAAAGACTTCCGTTGTTACAAGCTACCCCACTACTGGGGTGAGTTGTAACACTAGCTGGGGATGGATGTAACAACACACCAATTTGCTGAAATAATATCCACACTATCTAATTTATGCAAGTATTTTAATGGATAATAAAAAATGAGCAGTTGTGAATAAAGTAAATAATTTAAGGGAACAAAAACAGTTTAGGTTGTCACAAATGTGATAAATGTACTGTAGATGACACTGCCCCTGGGCTGCAGGGTTTGTGGGCCCTAAACTGACTAAGTACATACCTGACACACACCTCTTTAGGCCCTGAGTTTGTTGAGTGTTTATGCACACAGTGCAAAGATTCTCATTATCAGAGATGTCAGAATCTTTTGGTCATTGGTCCTTAGGGGATAAGGGGATGGTCATATGAAAATGGTTGTAACATTTTTACTGAACTGTTACAACCAAGCAGCCATTACATAGCTAACAGTCTTAGCATGTGGATTTGAAGTTAGCATGAATGTAAAGCATCAAATTAAACTAGTGAAACTGCTGCTTTAGAAGGCAGTCTCTATACTTGATAGTACTGCATTTTGACAAGCAATCTTATTTGAGTAAACATAGTTTCACGTCAACTGTTTCTTACTGTCCTCTCGTGTGAATGGGTGGCGGGCAGCATGTGTATTAATGTTCTCAATAAGCAGAAATAGACTAACACACATAACATGTTCAAGCCTTACACATTCAGATAACAGCACAATATATAGTACTCCTGAAGTCCTTATCAGTGCCACCAGACACACCTTTCTTGTAGAGGTGGAAGGTACATAAAGTCTCCTGAGGTGGTGAGAGTCACATTGTGTAACCACATGGTGTGATGCTTGGTGCTCTGCTAGCCTCAGTTATTTGTCATTGTCAGCATCCAGTCCCCCTCTGGATGTCTCAATTGTCTCCAACATCAGCTGGAGAGCCCAGCAGTGCTGCATCGCAGTCACAGCACCACAGACACATGTACAGTTTGACTGTGGGCCTCACACATGTTTTGTGGAATGAGCTTCAGGGTTTGTTCACATAAAAAAAAAACTGAGAGGAATGTGTTTCCCTCAGGAATTTATGAAGGAGATGACTAGAAAAAAAAACTAGTGGTTAACACTAAAAAACAGTGGGTGTGCAAATTGAGAGCTGCTTATCTTCAACTCTGATCTGGCCCAAATGCCTGACTGGTGAAACAATTGCTACTATAATTTATGTCGTCATTTAAGACTAAAATGTTTTACCTTAAACAATTATTGCGCTTCAAATCACTTTCATGCAGAAAGAAGAGCAATGCCACTTTCGCATGCACATATTAAATATAAAGCTACAGCCAGCAATTTAGCGGAAAAACTGTAGCTATTCTGGCTTTCTGGAAATGTGACAAATCCGCCTACTGGTGCTTGTTTATTTCTTGACTTTCAGGAGTCCTGTCAGCACTGTGAAATTGGTAAGCAACCACAGAAGAATCCTGAAAGTTCCTGCATGTTGCCAAAAAAAATACAGTAGTCTCACTCATAACATCCATTAAAACCACTACTTCTCATTTTCATACTTCATACTTAACATATCAAATATTAAAGGGCCCATAACATGCTTTTCCTTGTTTTCTGAATTCTCTACAGTGTTACAACAGTGAATTATAAGACATGACCTAAAGCTCAAAAATGAGGTGAACTTATGTTCTAGTACTTCTATGCAGAAGCAAATCCATTTATAATGTCTCGCAAACTGTGATTTTTTTTTTTTTTACAAATTAAGTGATAGTTTAAGGATTTCCTTAAATGGTCATAATCTCCGGGCAGTTGTGTGTTCATGTGAGCTTGCCTGACATCCACCAGTGCCACTGTTAAAGCGAAATTCTTTGACTGCGTCTGGTTTTGTGGATATATTTTACCTCCTGCTGCTGCACTGTGACCAGAGGAGGTGGATAAAAAAACAGGGCCTGAGGTTACTGGAAATGAGCAAAATGAGCAGCCATGGGCACTTTAAGTTTTAGTAGGCAGACCTTCACTTAGAGCTAGGCTAGCTGTTTTCCACTCTTTCTTAACTTTTTCTGCTGCCCTTCTAGGGGTCCAACCCCCAAGTTTGGGAACCACTGTACTAAACTAACCCAGTCAACAGTTTTTTATTTACCAATTGGCATGACAGTGGTCTGAATTTCTTGGCAGGAAAGGAATAAGTGAATTTTTCAAATTGACACAGCTGCTGACAATAAAGGCTAGTTTAGTAACTAATAAACTACTTGTAACTACTAGTTAAAGTGACCAAATTAAGCAAATATGTAATCTAAGAACATAATTTATCTGAGAGTTGCTACTTGTTTCACAAAGCTTTGTCAGTGTTGATTTTGATGATGTAATATAAACAAAACAATTTCATATCACAACAGAGCAAAAGCCCAAGCTTTCGCCTAAGTACCTTGTCTTTTTTTATAAGTTCTTTGTCTTCTAGTTTTGACTAGCTGTCATCTGCTGAAGTCCCCACTGCCTTCACTAATGTCAAGATGAATAAAGAAGAAAAGGTACCGATGTCTGTACACAGAAATAAGATTGATGTTTTTATGGACACAAACATGAGAGCACACAAAGACACACACTGTAGCTTACACTCTTCTATGGCTTGTGATAATGTAAAAGCAAGATGGGAAGCATTGCACAGAGTAAAGTGTGAGATTAATATTGCAACTATTAAAACTTATCATACTCACAAAAAAGGACACAAAAGAGACCACTGAGACGTAAGCACCAGAGTCAGAATAATACTGTACATCAGGACAATTTGACACAGTTTCCAATATGATAGGGCATTTGATTATTATAACATATTAAGACCAATATGTAATATTACATAATATAATAATATGTCATTTCTGTTAAAAATCATTTTACTAAAAGGTTTAATAATATAACATTACTATGTAATCTCTAATGCAGTACACCGAATGCTCTTGTTTTGTTGGAATATTTTCAGACAGAATAAAAAATGAAAATATATATATTAATATTGTAAATGAATATTTTATTTAAACTGTGTTCCCATTGGTCTTCAGTCAAACTCTAATAAATATGACAGCACATTAACATGTACAGCACAGCAACAATAATACATGACAACAAACAAAAACATAAAAATCTGAGTCGTCACATACCCATTAAAAATGAGTGAGCAGACAACAGAGCGTAGTGTGCCACTGTGCGGCATAAAAGCACTGAAATAAACAGATGACAAACACAGACACAAGAAGGCAACAGAGCTGTCAAGCCTCTCGGCGCTCAAATGACAGCATTTGCTAAACCGAGTGGAAGAATCTCTCCCTGCTGAAAGAAGGATTTCTCTAAAGACAGTGACTCATATACCTTTGACAAAAACGTCCGTGAAGCACTTCTCCTCCCCGACCACGCACTCGTATGCTGCGTCATCCGACAGGTTGCACTTGTTGATAGTGACTGTCCGCTTGTTGCCCACGCTCTCAAACGCATATCTGGATGCACATGGATGATGGGGGAAGATTTTACGAGGATAACAAACAAATGAGGAGAGAGAAAGAGAGAGAGAGAGAAATAAAGAGAATAATGAATAACTGCTTTCAGCAAATCCAGCCACAGATGTGGAGGGCCTGGAGACAACGCAGTGACTCACAGTTAGAGAGCAAGACAAAGAATCCACACATTGCTGTATAGAGCTTCAGAGCTATGCAGCCACACACACAAGTACATGCTCCCACACATGTGCATTTAGGTTGCCGGTGACAAATATCAAAAGACTACAGTGATGCCACAGTCTCATCACACACAAAGGAAGGCAGTGATGGGAAAGATTCCCATGGCTAAACACTGGAATCGTTCTCATTTTTAGACAACTCAAGGTGGCCGCTGGCCTTAATGGTAAGTGTAATTTTAACACATCCTTTTTCCATGTCACTTACAATACCCACAGTGCAACTCACACGCTAACAATTGGGTCAGAGATTCAGATGTGTTGTGCTATTAGAGGCTAATGTAGCCTCAAGCTACTAACCTCAAGTAGAGACGAGAAGCAGGCTACAGCGGTGTGGTAAGGTCACTTTTTCCTGCCACCCTCCAAATATTTGGCATCATTTAAACTAACAAATTATTCTTGCGTGTCCACACACAAAATGAATTGTTTTTATCTTATTAAGTATTGCAGGGTTCCAAGTAAAAAAAGAACAATAAAAAATGAAATGAATTCTATTTTCTATTGCAAATTAACCAAATCCACCAGTATTCTTTCAGTCTGATATATGACCAGTTTAAGCACTGGCTGGGAAAATACTAGCTCTCAGCTGGCCATATTGCTTCATTTATACACTAAGTGATTCTTCGTACCATATTCATATTTTATTATCCTAAACACACAGTTTTGGTTTTAAATCTTAGCTGTTTTTTGTCTGAAATGTAACAAAGAACACTGGAGTTGTATCAGGCTGTCTCTGTACTCATTTTATGGCAGGAAAACCCTAATCCCAATGGCTCTAAGCCTGTCACCCAAAACATTAGATTTGTTAGATTTTGATGGTCACAGTGCACCTGCTGGGGGCATCTCCTGGGAGGCTCTGTTCAGGGCAAAAAGGTACCTTGAGCTGTAGTAACTGTCTTAATGAAAACAGGAAGAGGGCTGTTTTACTGTCAGTGAACCACATATGGGCAGCCATAGAAAAAAACACCACTCACAACAGCTGTACACTAAATAAAACACCAAAAGAAGCCTTTGAAGGAGAAGCAGATGAGAGCGACAGACAATGGAAAAGGATCAACAGGATAAGACACTCAAAACTAACATATAGTGCATCTACTATTAATCATAACCCAAACTCAGATCTGCTCCTAAATGTTTTTAAATGAGCCATTCATAGAGCACTGTTGTTGATGTGAGTTTCCTGAATGGCTAAGGTACTAAATTGTAGTCCAACATTCTCCTCTGCCCACTCTCATCACCAAGGTGTTTCTGTCCATGGCTCACTGGATGTGTTTAGTTTTTCGCATCATTCTGAATGTTGTGCGTGAAAGTACCATGAGTTTCCTGGGAGCAGTTTCAGAAACATTCAAACCAAATATCACACCAAGGTCAAAGTCACTGAGATCCATTCAGATGTTTGAGCAATGACTGCAGCTTCTGACCTGCAGTCTGCTTGACTTATGCATTGCACTACTGCCACAAATGGGCTGATTGGGTAATTGCAGGAATAAGCAGGTATACAGGTGTTCCTAATAAAGTGACTGGTGAGTGTAGTTCCCTTGAACATTTACAAGATAATATAAATTTGCTAACACCTTCCATAGCCCTTAGGAGCCTTGGAATATATTTGGCTATTTTTGCAGATGTTTAATAGTTTTGAGGTTACCTTTATATACCACATGAAGATATGTTTAACATGCCAATGTTTGGTATAATTTTCTTCAGCACGGCTTTGATTTTTTTGACCTGGCAATTATTTGTACATTTTGACATGCAGCATCAACATCGACTCCTGGAGGTTAATACCCATTACTCAAGTGAACATATGAGAAAAGCATCTCTCGCAGCTAAAAAATTATGAATAATTATCAGTTACACGGAGTGTTAACTTTCTCCATTCTTATCAACTTTATTTCAAGCAGCTGTTGTTTTTAGAGAAACTCACGATACACACTTGAGTCGAACCGCCAGCTTTCCGGTTAGGAGACAACCTCCTCTACCTCCTGAGCCACAGCTGCCCCTGTTTTAGTCTCTGTATGGAGAGTGTTGAAAACACTGTTAATATAGAAAATGACCAGCCTTATTCCTTAACGTTATGGTCCAGTGTACAAACATATATATAACATATAAACTGCAACAGTGCACCTCCTAAATAGAGGTACTGTAAGTGACTCACTGGGCTGATGGTTTGATTTCCTGTCTGCTTTTCAGCCACTTGATTGGAGCGTCAGAGTCGGCCACTTCTACACTGAGCTGAATCTTTCTGCCCTTGTCCACTGAGTAGGTAGGATGCAGTTTCCTCAAGAAAGTATCCTGTTAGTACAGATCAACCATTGCTTTAACAACCAAATGATCCATAAGTGCCAACCAGCAGCAAACATATGCTAACACATATTCCACCTGTCTTCCAGCAATATAACTTCTCCCCTGAGGCCTTTAAATGCTGCTGGTGTTTTCAGCCTGCTGCATTAGCGAGTGCTTGTCTCTTGCCTCACTCCTAGTGCACAGTCTGTTCTTGCCTCATAAACCCTCTCTTGTCTCTTCCCTCACTCCTCACCGTCACTCTTTTTGGGCTCCACCTTCATCCTCTTTAGCCTGTTCAGCATGCCCCTCAGGTCTGTGATGCCATACTGGAAGGCTATCTTAGTCACAGGGTTTGGGCTGCCTTTAAGATTTCCCATGCATCCACTTCTTCTTTGGGCTTCTGTTGTTTCTTCTCCCTGATTATGTCTAAGATTTTAGACAGCTGAATATGGATAATGCAGCTCTGAAAATGTAGATGACCGTACCTTTTCTTCAGCAGCATACTGAAATCGAGATCACCGGCATCCTCACCTGCATCTCCACTGAAGTTGAAAAAAAAAGAGATTTGGGGGATGTCATCTGTACTATTCACAACCCTGCTGAAATGGATAGTGAAAAAAACAGCATGAGTAATGAGAAATCCCCATTTCTTTCACATTATACAGGCCTTTAATATAGGCACAAAAAGTACAAGACATTTACAACAAAGGCAAAATAAGCAAATACAACAGCACAGAGGAGACCTCTAATGAATTACTGCCTGTACTTAAAGCTTACCTTTCATTCATCTTGTGTTCAGACAGATACAAAATAGGATGTGACAACACAGAGAGGGGCTTTTGATGAGGACTACAAGCTATCATCATGCCCTAAATCCAAGTGAGGGACAGAAATCACAATAGACATGTAACATGTATGCAGCAAGGACAAGAGAAATAAGCTATAAGTAACATGTTGTTCAATTGTTCTTAAGTCAAATTGTGTTTTCTCCTTGAACTCATATAACAGGTCTGGTTTGTGAACTTCATTCATACCTAGGAGCAGTGGTGGAAGAAAAATAGCAATACCACAGTGTAAATATAAAAAGTCTTGCATTCAAAATGTTACTTAAGTAAAAGTACGAAAGCATCAAGATGAACCGATTTGGTCTGATTTTAGACCCAATTCAGTCGTGCCTGGTCAATTATGATTTGACCTACAGTGTGCGCAGGATCCTGGCGCCTGATTACACAAGACAAGATATTGCATTTTGTGGACAGACTCAACTGAAACAAGGCCATAAACTATATATAATATATTTATAAATTGTAGCTGGTAAAGGAAAAGCTCATTTTAAATATGTTATATGCTTAGAATTTGTGTTACTGCTAGGTAGTTTGTGAATTTTACACTGAGGATCGATAAATCTTGTGATGTATTCTGTTTTATTAGCCTCATTCTGAAAAGTAAAGGTTTCAAATAAATATAGTGAGTCCAAAGTACACTAGGTTTTTCTGAAATTTAATGGTGAAAGTAGCAGAAGTAGTAGACGTAGCAGAAAATGAAAATACTCAAGTAAAGTTCAGATACTTCGAAATTGGCCTCAAGTTGAGTACTTGAATAAATGTATTTAGTTACTTTCTACCTCTGCCTAAAAGAAATTATAAATATGAGAAATTAGTTGAATGCTGCAGATTCTCTTAATTCACTTGTATGCGCCATTTACTGTATTAACCTTCATGCACGAGGCTCAGTGTCCTCATCTTATGTTCAATCTTCTATGACTTGCTTTAGAAAACTCAACGCCACCCAGGTTCACTTTGCCTAACCTCGGTCACTTTGACTTGAACAATTGTTTGCTGCAGCGGTGAGATGGACCATAGTCTTTTATTAAATTCATGGGAAGTTTAGTGACGTGCTACAGCAGCATCCTGCTGTGCCACCCTGTCCCTTTTCTTCTTCTAACAAGATCCTGGTGAATTATGATGAATTTTAGGATCAATTGCCCACACATCAGCTCCCAGATGATTATCACTCAGTGTTTCCTTTGTTCTGACAGTCATCTCCGTACAACATTGTCTACCACGTAGAGTCTAAATACCGTATGTTTACTGGCGTGCTTGTACACATTGCCTTGTAAGCTGCAGCTGTTTCCCACATCGTGTCAGAAACACTAATGACCACAGTGCCAACAAGTATTCCACAGAACATTTTCTGTTTCCCTTAGAGGGCTGGATTCAGATGGTCAACCAGCCAGCAAAGCAACAACACAAAGAAATAAAAAATAGCCTGATATGCCCCGGGGGATGTGATGAAGAGCTTGGGCTATTGCAGACATGAAACACACATTAAAGTCTGGAGTAAAAACAAACTCCAGAGAAATAATGAGTGAACAGAAGTGAGTATCCTAAAGCAGCGATTCCCAGCCTTTGTTGTCTGATGTACCCCCTCAAATGAATTCATTCTTTGCTGAGCCTGAAACCATTTCTACCATTTATCCATTACTTTTAACTAACTCCTTCAACCATTTACACACGACATTTTTCTGCCCGTTTCAGCTATTTATCTGTTACTTTTATTTGCCTTTCAACCTTTTGTCCATTGTTTTTAGTTAAAGCTACAGAATGTAACTTCTTCAAATATTTTGGAGAGGTGCTGTCGAAGCCTCCTGTGACCCAGGGTCATTGAACAGCACTGGCAGCAGCACAGAGATATTAGCTTCTAAAAGACTTTGAGAAGGGTTGACCTCTCTAACCAGTCAGAAGTTTTCAGTTATTTCTGTTTGATCAGTAAGTTTTGTTGCATTCTCGATTACTGTATACAAATATCTGAAGAGCTGGGCAGAGCATGGCAGATTGTAGTAAGGCATAGTGGAGCAGAGAACGGGAGTGCGAGATGGAGGAGAGTGAACTGATTTGGAGTTTCATGCAGCGCTACCTTAAGTTACGTACTGTAGCTTTAACTATTTAATTTCCATTTAAACTTTGCTTCTAACAGTTCATCTATTACTTTTGGCATCATTTTATTCATTATTTGTATCTAACTGTTTAGATTTTATTCACTTGCCAGCAGCTTTAAACTCACTTTCAATACCACCATCTAGTGCTCAGTATGTGATATCATTTTTTAATAAATCATCATTTCTATTTTGTTTAATTCACTGAGCTACTCCATGTTCTCCATGTTTCCACTATGGTACCCCCTGGGCTACAAGTAGTCCTGTTCAGGAATCACTGTAGTAGAACCACATGTTTTTGGTTGTACTACTGCAATCCATTTTAAGAGCAACACATCTCTTAGGAAATGAGAACCTCTGTACTTCCTTCATTCCCTTTAGAGGTTTATCTGCATGACCTCCACATAACAAGGTGTTTGACACTCTGATCCGTTGCCTCTCCAGCAACGTATCTGAGTTTTAACCAACTTTTCACTTTTCATTTATCACACCAGTCTCTCTTCCTCGCCCCTTCGCTCCTTCGTATCAGCATTCTGCAAATAAGCACACTGACATCCTGTCTGAACCACAATATGATGCTGTCTTTTTACATGTTGCATTCCTTATCTTACCTGTGCCTTTCTGCTTGAGCTCTAATAAGGGAAGGAAATTATATTTTTAAACACAGATAACAAATGTGAAGATTCAGGATGTCAGTGCAAAGGTGTCAGCTGATTTACGATACTGTATAGAAGCTGAGAACAGCTGAAGTAAAAAAAAAAAGCCATTAAATATCCTACACAGTCATAGGATACATACATGCATACATAGATCATACAGGCAGAAGGAGACAGAAATAGACAGTGAGGGGAACAGATGCATATAAAAAATGAAACAGTCCCTTCAGAGACTGCCACTGAGACATGATGAAATACATAAGATGCTAAACCATGAGGGACTCCAGGGGAAGCAAAACAGCAAGGCGCATTGAGATGTGACAGACAGAGGAGGATGGCAGATAGAATGGCTTGCACAAAGTCAGCGGCAGCTAAGGGACACACAGACACGCGTACAGAGATGCTTGTTGAGACTGACAGTTGCCCAGCAGCAATCTACAGAGGAGCATATGGGAGGCAGTGTGACTGGTGACATGTTGAGTAGACCCTCGCCGACAGCAACACTCACGATAGCTTAAATGCCTCCAAGATGTTGTCCTGCTGCTCCTCTTGTACGGCTGAAACCAGACAGAAGGAGGAAGGCCGGTGAGAGCTCGGCTAGGTTAATTCATTACACAGCAGGGCTGAGCAGCAAAGGAATAATGGACTGATGACCTCGCTAGGCTACTAAATGATAGGGGCCTAATGCGTATCGCACTCGCTGAGTTATTGGCTGACAAAGCCAGTTACATAGTAATGGTGGATACGTTGAATGGAAGATGACAATAATGTGATTAAGTGTCTGTCTCCGGACCTACCCTGCACAGACACTTGGACTGTGCAGCTGTCGCACTCGTCTTTGGAGGTGACCCCGCAGCGGCAGCCACCTGCGTCTCCATCCACCACTTTGCTGATGCTCATCTTGTAAGTGTAGATCTAACAGAGAGAGGAAAAATAACTTGCTGCACATGCAGGTCAGTGAACACCCGTGCCCACACACATGTACATGCACAGATATGCTCACGAACATGCAGAGTAAACAGCCTACTCGGTTTGACTGGTGTCTGTTTGCTGATAAACCCAAGAATTATAAAAGCATGCAGTGTATTTTTTTAATTTATCATGGCCCATGGGCTTCTTCCACATGTTTTTTTATGCAGCTGTGTGTAGTTACTGTTCACAAATTCAGTATCTGACCAGCATCTCTCATTGACCGGCTACCTGAGTGTACCTCTTGAGAGCACATTTGGAAAGTAGTGAGATTCTCTTTGTGATGTGCAGTCAGTGGTAGTAAAAGTGTGGAAACGTACACTCCTGCGGGTGTATTTAAAAGGTGAACAGTTGAGAAGTCCTTCACACACTCACAAAGCTAAACAAAGTGGTTGAAAGATTATTTTGAAACTCACATGTAAAGCAGCTGGTTGATAAAATATTATTCAGTGAATGTTTCTGTATTTTTTGTTTTGTTTTGTTTTGCATGCTGTTCAATATAACAATTTTGACTAAAATACTGACATGGTTCTGGAAGTGTCAGTGTCTTCTATTCATTCTGATTTTCTTACTTCATTCAGATTAAATTCTTCACAGACAGCTTTTTGTCCAATTATAGCAAGCAGTTAAACATCTGTGTGTGGCAATGAATGCACAGGTTGCGCTGACACATACGGTATGAACATGCACATCTTGGTGTTCCTGTCATAGGACTCTTTAAACTGCAGGTGCTTTCCAGCTTTGCAACCCAAGTCAAGCCATTTCCCCTTCAGCCATTTCTTGTTTGCCGTCTTTGTCAAATTTGAGGAGTCCACTTCAGCCACAAACGTGATGTCCTTGCCTGCAAAAAGCAAGAATGAGACACAGTGATTAATTAAAGTAGATTAACTTGTCTGTATTCTATTGGCATTATGTTTCTTTCTGAATAAATATTTCAGGATTATTTCATCAGACCATTTGTCACTGTGACGCTCTCCAGCTTCACAACAAACAGTCTGGTCAGCTTGGACGTCTGAGGATCCTCCTCTAGTATCATGCACTGTGTTGTGTATTAAATGGACAGATTAAAGCTGGAGTTGCAATCTGAGCACCACTCAGATAAAGGCACAACAAACAGATTGTGGATGACAAGAGGAGACATGTCAACCAAGCAAACCACCAAATCAGCAGACTTCTAAATGATGGTGTTTTTATGGTTAAACACCTATTGCTGATAATTTAGGAAACTTCATACCTATGATTTGATGAAAAGTGGTCTCAAATCGCTAATTTCCACCCTGTGAGCACAAGAATCAGCTCCTTTTTTATGGTTATTAAGCACTGAAATGAGCAACAGTCTGTGAAGCAAAACCTTTCAGCATGTTTGTGTAATGCATTTGCTGTTACGCTACATAAACCGTTTGGGACCCTCTGACAAATGACTGGTGACCAAAGAGTCCCCTTGAACATACTGGCCCCAGGGAATAAAGAAACTGCTCAGATCACCTCTGAAGACATTACAGTAGGCCTGATTCTCTGCCACCCTGACAGAACGTAAGCTGAAGCTGTACACTCTTATCTTGGTGATAATAATGAGCTGTTCTTTTATCCGTTCACTTGTTTCTTTTGCAAGTACAGTAAATTCATGTAACCTCTGTAAGGTGTTTGCTTGTCATTTGAAACGTGTCACAAAGACACCGACGTGTACATTTCTCTTACCATCAGGAGGCAACTCTGCAGTGCAGGGGGGTGAAGAAGAGAGTGGGGAAAACATCACTCTGTACAGTATCTGTGCTGTTCAACGCAAGCGTTAATTGGCCCAGAGATTATCTTGGCTTCAGGTGAGGAACACGTGCACTCACACTCCAAAAAACACATCTTTCTTTCTTTGACTCTAATTAACAAATCATGTTTTTCTTATACAAAACACAACTGTTATTGAGCTGTCTTCAACAGTTCAAGTTTAAAAATCACTTTAAATTGCGCTGAAGTCAGGAGATTGTTAACTGGACATAATCTACATAAACAGTCTCTCTTGTTTCTTTCACAGTCTGTGTGGGGCATACTGTGAGTTTTACAGGAGAGCAAGGTTTATGAACAAGCAGAGGGTAAAGATAAAGCCACACTGGACCACCAACGGGTAGAGTGAGTAATTCCTTGCATCCATTGGACAAAGAATAGATCCAGGGTCACGTGTCAAATAAGGTCATAAGCCTCCATAAATTCAGAGAGCCACACTGTCTGCGCCTCCTCTTCTCTCTCTCTCTCTGCTTTTATGGGCTCACTTAATTTGATCTTTTAATCAAAAGTGCCCCCGAGGACAGATCCAAATTCAGATGTTCAGCGTGATTTAAAGATTTAGGTTTGAATGCTAAGTGGGTAAAGCTGATCCCGGGATGGCACCCAGGGGACACTTTTGGAAGTTTACACTCTTACACTGTTACATTGGACACTTGCTCTGTTTAGGATGAGGGTTGCTGAGTGAAACTAACTCCAGACAATGTCCTTGCCTTGCAGTAGTTTTAGACTCTGGACAAGCCTCTGCAGCGTGACTGTAACCACCCTACCAACTATATATACTGTATATACACTTTAAACAATGAGAACAATTTGAACCGACATTAAAATGCTCAGAAAAGCTTTATTTTACAGGTTTGTTATTTTCCTCATAATTTCTACAAACATTCCTGGAAATAGTGCCATCATTTTGTCCCAATTTTAGATCAAATAGAGACAAAGCTCAGAGACTAGTTTAGTTTCAGAATGACACTTGTTTACATAAGTGACAACGCCCTCTAGCAGACAAGGGATTTGACTTAGACAAAAATGGTCAGGTGAAATTATTATTGAGAAATAGTGTGGTCAGCATGGATAACTGGGCTAACAGCACATCAGAGTTTAAAGGATATGGCCAGGCATTTTTTATATTAACAGTATTTTCAACATTCCCCATACAGAGACTAAAACCAACAATGATTTGCTTCTACTGACTGTTAATATCTGTCAGTCCTGGATTAGCATGTTCATCTGTGCCATAGACCTCCACTGTTGTTCAAAAACAATTTAAAACACACCAGGGAAGCACACTGCTGCACTGGGTGACATGTCTTGTGTTTTGTAATGAGGAAATATGTCACCCAGTGCAGCGGCATGTTTCCCTGATGTGTTTTTAATCCTTTTTGAACAACAACAGAGGTCTATGGCACAGACAAATAAACTAATCCAAGACCGACAGGTTGACAGACATTAATAGTGAGTAAAGGCAAATCGTTGTTGGTTTTAGTCTCTGTATGGGGAATGCTGAAAATACTTTTAATAGAGAAATTGAGTGGCCTTATCCTTTAATGTTTTCTGTTTCCTATCCACCACAATAGTTGGTTTCTTTTAACTATGACCATGATCATTAAGTAATCTTAACCAAGTGCTTATTATTGTAACAGTGATAAAAAAAATGTCTTTTAATCTTGAAGAATCTTCCCTAAATTTAACATAAAGCTGTATATGTTGAATTGTCTGTAGACAAATTGCACATTTTGTGTTGTCTAGTGACTAAAAGACTCTAAGTTACAGTAGCTTTACATACAATTGATTGTTTGTTTACCAATTGAAAACCTGAACACTCACTGTATTTTACTTATAATTAGTGCCAAATAATGTATGGATAATCACCTTTATTGGCCAAGTATGTTATACATAAGGAATTTGTTTCCAGCACAGAACCGACGGCAGCCATCTGCGGCATCACCTCAACCGATGGCTCTAACCATCGTGGGCAACAGGGGGGTTCAGTGTCTTGCCCAAGGACACCTCGGCACGTGGACTGCCGGCACCGAGATTCAAACCTTCAACCTTCTGGTTGGGAGATGACTGCTCTACCCACCACACCACTGTCGCCTCCCCTGACTTAATAGCTATCAAATATCCCATCTTAGACTTGATATTACTAAATAAAAATAGTAACTTATCTTTCCATTCCATTCATAAAATATAGTTCTATACCAGGAATGTATAGCACTGTCATTTCGCAGTTATTACTTATTCAGTACATCATAAATTTATCATCAGAGCACCTTCATACAGGACAGAGTTTCTTACATTCCCTCATGTAACACATACCAAGCATGACAATAGAAAGCAGAAGCAGGCTGGGAGAGCATGTGCTCTGTCTTTTCCTTACCATCCCTGGGCTCATTGTTCTCTGAATAAAAAGAAATAGTTAGCAAATAGAAAATAGTCTTCCACTATGGACAATGAAGGGTTAAAACACTTCCCACGGTGCTACTCTGCTCTCTTCAGACTGCAGCGATGTGAGCGTATGATTATGAATTAAGAGAAGCTTTTCAACAAAGACCAGATTAAAGACAATGTATAAGCCTGTTCACTGAGATAACCGCAGTATCTTCAGACAAGCTGGAACAACACTCACACTTGTACAAACACTACGGAGGCAAATGCACTAATTACAAAGCAAAGCTCTTACCTACACCAGGCTGGACATCTGTTAATGAAGAATAAGCACAAGTTACTGAGCCAAAAGAGTGGTAATGTAGATATAATACAACACAAGCGTTTCATACATACACATACTGCACATAAACACACACGCACATACACACAACTATGAGAGAATATCACTTCCTAAGCCAAGCACAGCTCTGTGAGTTATGTTGATCATTTTAGAGATAAATTGATGTGTTTAATTTAACAGATGAGTAAAGGCACAATGAACTCATACACATATTTACAAAACGATTAAGCCAGCACAGTGCTGACCCTCCACAGCAGGCTGCACCTCTGCCAATAAAAGTGACATAATAATGTAAAGGGGAACAGCAGCCCTACCAAATAGTTTAATTGCTTGGGAACACAACATAACGACCCCCAAATGATGTTGCTTTCCTGTTGCGTGAAGTGTGAATTCAAAAAGTGATAGAGTATCTACATATATTCAGTAAATTAATGTTTTTTATGCCATGAAAAGTTACACTTCTCTTTAAACTGCTTTACTTTTTGACCACATCTGCTCATTTAAAGGCAGAGACACACTAAGCTGACAAAAAAAAAACTAGCAGCAACATAGGGTAACTGTGGTGTTGCCTCACATCGCCGTTGTCTGAGCCAGTCAGGTTGAAAACATGGCACTTGAACACACTGCACAGACTACAGCCAAAGGCCAACTAACGTATGCGTTCTGTAGCTCCATGAGAGAAATAACTCCCCCTACCAGTAGGTGGCAGTATCTGCACTCACCATTCAAAAAGGGAAAGAAGACGGGCTAGACTGAAAACAGAAGCAGTAAAGAAAGCACCTCTCGTTAACAGTAGCTGCTGTTTATATTTGCTTCTAATCAAGAATATGTCTGATAAGAAGTTACAAATGACACTGCCATTCTCTGCCCTTGATCTTACGGTTGTGGAAGAAGAAAGGAGGTTGTGGAGGTGAAAAATAAAGAGAAACTACACTAAATGGGTGAAATCAGTGGAAGACTCAAGGGGCTAAGCTAAACAGCCAGTCAAAGTGGTCTCTCTCACTGATTCAACATGCCAAATCTGCTGAAAAGCCGCAAACAAGGTCTGACTACAATGGTACAGGACACACCAGAAAGATGAGCCCCAGTAGATGCTCACCGACAGCTCAACAGTGGCCAAGAGCCAACCGTCAGCCTGGTGTGTCACAGCCCTAAATGGCTGATGTAGCATTGCACTTCAATAACACTGTTAGATTCATACTGGTTTTGAAAAAAATAGAACCCAAGATATTGTCTTTTTTGTTTCCCATGTTTTTTACTTTCTTGTCAAACCAGGCATCTACATCAACCACAATGCAACCCCACAGCTGTCCATTTGATTGGTGATTCAGGTGTTGTTAAACTAGTGGCCTCAAGTTGCCAAGCAGAGATGACGCGCTGGATACAGAAGTCTAGTAAGCTTACGTATGCCGTCATTCCACTGCCACCAGGAACCATACCATACCCATACTGTACTGCCCCCAACCTGGCCGTCTATGTCACTACATTCTGATTTGCAGAGAGAAAACTTGAGCAACAGGAAGTGTCTC